AGTAAAAAAAACTTGTGATGCGATACCATATTCCAGTAGGGTTGTTACGGTTGTAAGATACTGAGAAGATTGAACTTGGATCCTCTATTGTAGTGCTTCTGGTACTCATTTTTCAACATCATTTCACTTGTTTTTAACAAGTTTTTTCTACAGTTTAACACACACACACAAATTTGAGTAAAAACACAAAATAGTATGTTAAAAATAGATATAACTGTGTTGAAACTATTTTCAACTGTATGGAAATGTAGATGAGACGTGTTGAAAACGAGTTGTAGTGACGTTGAAAAACGCAACAACTACATTACCAAAGGCGCTACTAAAGATTTGAGCTCGAGAAGATTATCCACCTTAAACATGTTTTAAACAAGCCTGGTCTAATTTTTACCATGCTTGTCTTGGTACCCTTCAAAACTCATTTTGTTTTGATTTTTTGTTTCATTATTACTATATTTTATATTTGTTAATTTTTTTCTTTCTTTCAAACTTGCCACAAGTCCAAGGTGCTTATGGCAGCCTCTTAGTCCTGACACCAATTCAAGGTCATCAACAACTGAAAGTACAAAGAATTTTTCCCTAATTGTAGAGAGAGAAACTTTACACTCCCAATAATTTCTCAACACCTTTTCCCTATCAATCCCTTCTATTTATAGACAGTTATAACCCCCACTGAGCTGATCCTATCCTATTCTCCTTTGGCTGGACTCGATTCCTCTCATTTCATCATGGGCTTCTGAAATGGCTTTATGGACCTGGGCCCATATGGCGCGAACTAGCTTCATCCCGTTTATCCACATCCGACCCATCTTATGCGATGTGGATCACTCCAAACCCGGGTCGTTTTGGTATCATCATTTGCCCCCAATAATCTCTTTCCTCATTAATGAGGATGAGATTATTGAAAGGACACGATCTTGGTCTGACGGCTTGGAGCAATAACTCGAGGAATCGAACGGTTGGTACAAGAACCCAGGTTTCAAGATCTACAGCGCCACTTTTTGCCTTGACCTTTAGAGTTCCATGTCGCTTTTACTTCTCCTCTTTATAAATTCTGATCTTTCTCTCCTTCGTCCTCTCTCTTACCCTTTTGCTTTTACTCCCTGTTGCTTTCCTGCACATTCCGGCGATCCTTTTTACTTTCTCCGGCAAGTTCTTCCGGCGAGTCCTTCCTTTTCGATTTTTAGCTACTGTGCCGTTGCTGAGTTCATCTCAAACCTTCGAGGTTAGTTTCTCTTTTCTTTTTTAAACATCCTCTTCTTAAAGGCGCCTTTATTGCCTAGGACTCTTTCCCTTTTCATGGCTTCCCCTAACTTGAACACCATTCGATCCAAGAACTGTATCCCTCGCGACGTTTCTCTTAGAATCTACCCAACGAACTTAGACGAGAGATCCGGTGAGGGTTTTCTTCCTAGGGAAGTTTTGTTTTCTGCCATTCACCTGAACGTCATTAGGTTCCCCGTACACCCATTCTTTTGCTACATTTTCTACAAATTGGGGCTCTGCCCCCTGCAAGTTAACCCAAACTTTCTTAGGGTCATTTCAGTTCTCCTGCTCTTGAATCGTGACAGGAGTCTCAATCTTGACATTATTGACCTTCTCCTCTGCTATCGGATTAACAAGATCTCACAAAACGACTTGTACTATCACTTCTTTCCTATTGACAAACGGTCAATCTACACTGATAAAAGCTCATTTGAAAAAGGTTGGAGGCGGAATTTAATTGTGGTTGGTGGGAATTGGCGGACTCCGCTCGGCCGTTCCTTCCCTATCCCCTCTTCCTTTGGAACTTGTTCTGTCTCTGGCTACAAGAAGCTGAAAAAACATCCTTCTGAATGCCACTGTGAAAGTTGTCTTCCCCACTTTTGCACTTTTCTTTGTAGATGCCTTGAAATTCCCCATGATGAACTAGTTTATAGCGTCTGCAGGGCTAGGCTAGATACCTTGCAAGAAAACGTGCTGAACGATGTTCCTTCAGCTACTGATTTGCTTACATCTGATAATCTTTCTGACATCTCTCTTTTAGGGTCTACAATGGAGAATATTCAGATCCCATCGTTCAGCAGGAGGAGGCGTCTTGCTCCCACCCCTTCTAACGCTCCTGCCGTTATTCCATCACCTACACCTGCTTCCACATCCTCTCTTCCTGTTGTCTCTGCCCCAGAGCAAGTTGTGGTTGCCCCAGCTGCAACTCAAGTCTCAACCCGTTCTGCTGATGCGCCTTTAGAACTCACCCATGTTGAGAACCCTGTCGCGGGCCATGCTGCTGAAGTCCGTCCTGCTGCCCCCGTCATTATGCCATCAAACATTTTGTCCGACACTTCTTCAGAGAGCACTCAGGATGCTGGAAATTCTGAGGACAATGGGGGGCCAGCTAATGCTGCTCTGTTGGAGAAGAGTTTGGGAAAAAGGCCAATGCCTGAGGGCGGTCATGATCAGAGTGACATCCCCCCGACCCGAAGGATAAGGACGGCTTCCTTCAGGGTTACTGAACCATCGCCCCCTGCCAGGTTCTTTATTCCTGAAGGTGAGTCGGCCAGAACCTCTGGTTCAATTCCATCCGTTCTTCCATGGCGACCTTTGCTCAGCCGTGAAGATGGATCAACCATTTGCCCCATTGACTCAATATACAAAGACCCCCTAACCTCGTTTGCTTTCTACAAGGGCCTCTAGACCTCCAAAGACCTTGAAATCCAGAACAAACTGTCCTTTGGTGAGATGTTCCAACGGTTTCCGGCCGCTGCTATGGAGGTGACCCTTCTTCTACTGAAGTGTGTTCCTTTTCAGTTATATTTCCTTTGTACTTAGTCTGATCTGAATTTCGTTTTCTTCATGCAGACTCTGTTCGGGATGTTCACCTTTCAGAAAATAGTTGAAACACTGAATAAAAAACTTAAGTCTCTCTGTGGGCATTAAAAGGTCTGTTGAAGCAGAGACTCTTCTTGAGGCTAGAGTTGCTGAGCTGGAGTCAAAGCTTAGGGACTCTGAAAAGGAAGTTGCTGACCTAAGGGCAGAGAAAGACGGTCTGGCCAACGAGAGGGATTCCCTCAGAGCTGAACGGGATTCCTTTAAGACCGAACGGGACTCTCTTCATGATGAGGTTGATGTCTTAAAAACCGAGAAGAGTGTAGCTCTGACAGAAAGGGACTCTCTCAAACCGAAAAGGGGGACCTTCAGCGTTTATTCATTGCTGAACGGTTATCATATTCGAATTCCAAAGAAAAACTTCTGAATGAACGGTCTTCCCTGATGAACATGGTCAGCAGAGTCGAAGGGGGAATGAGGGCTCTCCTTGCTCGCTTTACCAGGACCAGTGCCATCCGGTATGCTGAAGGGTATAGAGACGGTTTTGTTGACCGTTCTCCCCCCGAAGGTGAATCAAGCTCTTGTGCTGGTCCTGATGAACTGGACGCTTCTCTGGACATCCACCCCCCAAACAACTATCAAGACCCACCATGCGACCCAGCCGAGAACATTTTTATTGAATGCATAGAGGTCACATCTTCAGGAATTATCTCACCCTTTCACCCTCTGAACATTGTTCCCCTTTCTACCATCGCGCCATCTTCCTCCGTCACTGCCGAAAGACCTATGCCTGCTGAGTGGGTGATTCATCTCGACTCCCCTTCTAAGGATGATAGGGCAGATGGAGATCTCGATGGTCCAGAGGGAGATGGTGGCGACAAGCCACAGTCTGGAGAAGATCAGAATTGAGAGCCAATAGTATTTATTTTATTTTATTTTATTTTATTTTTGAATCTGTATGTATAGTACTATATACCTTGGGGCCTTTTTGGCTATGAATGATATTAATCTTTGTTCAGTATCACTTTCCTCCATTGAGTTTTCTATTTTCAGCTTTACAGTGTTGTTTTTTTTTTTACAAGTGTTTGGCGTTCGGCTTTAAGTGCCAGCTGCCACTAACTTGCTGAAAACCTGGCGCTCGACCTGAACGCCTCTTGCCACTTGGTTTTTCATTTTCTGAGCAAGTGTTTGGCGTTCGGCTTTAAGTGCCAGCTGCCACAAACTTGCTGAAAACGTGGCTCTCGGCTTGAACGCCTCTTGCCACTTGGCTTTTTCATTTTCTGAGCAAGTGTTTGGCGTTCGGCTTTAAGTGCCAGCTGCCACTAACTTGCTGAAAACCTGACGCTCGGCCTGAACGCCTCTTGCCACTTGGCTTTTTCATTTTCTGAGCAAGTGTTTGGCGTTCGGCTTTAAGTGCCAGCTGCCACTAACTTGCTGAAAACCTAGCGCTCGGCCTGAACGCCTCTTGCCACTTGGCTTTTTCATTTTCTGAGCAAGTGTTTGGCGTTCGGCTTTAAGTGCCAGCTGCCACTAACTTGCTGAAAACCTAGCGCTCGGCCTGAACGCCTCTTGCCACTTGGCTTTTTCATTTTCTGAGCAAGTGTTTGGCGTTCGGCTTTAAGTGTCAGCTGCCACTAACTTGCTGAATGGGAAGGGTGTAGATTTTTAACAAAGAAGAGGCTTTTTATAAAGCATGGAAATTTCGTACATTTTCAAGCATGCAATTCAGAACGTACAATATGCTTGGAATTAAACTCTACTTTTACTGGTAGTACCTTTTCAGAGACATAGCATTCCATGGCTTATTGACTACCCTTCCTGTCATAGTTTCTAGGACGTACGCCCCCTTCCCAATGACCTCTGCTATTCTGTACGGACCTTCCCATGGGGAGAACATCTTTTTGACTATTCCCACCTTCCTTTTCAGATCGCCAGGAGCGAAACCCCTGTGCCTCACCTTCTTGTTATGGCTATTCACGAGAGTCTGTTGATAAGAGGAGAGCCTCACTGCAGCCGCATCCCTTTTTTTTTTTCCAATAAATCAAGATTGAACCTCAGCATTCTATCATTCTGCTCTTGATCCCATGCCAGGCTCCTTACAGTTGGAACAAATGCTCGACTAGTATCACCGCCTCGGTGCCATAGGCCATAGCGAATGGGCTCTCTCCAGTTGGCCATCTTGGGGTTGTTCTGTAAGCCTACAAGACGTTCGGTAGCTCATCCAACCATTTGCCTTTTTCATTCTCCAGCTTCTTCTTGATACAAGCAAATATTGTCCTATTTGTGATTTCGGCTTGACCATTAGCCTGAGGATGACTGACTGCTGCTAACTTTTGATTGATTCCATATTCCTCTAGCAGCTCTCTCACTTGCTTGCTATCGAGGTCGGTTCCATTGTCCATCACGATTGACCTTGGTATGCCAAAACGGCAGATAATATTATTCCAGATGAAGCGTCTTACTTGAGTTTGGGTGACACTAGGGTATGGCTCCGCTTCTACCCATTTGGTGAAGTAATCAGTAGCTAGCAGAACGTACTTATTCTGCGATCTTGCAGTCGGCAAAGGGCCAACCACGTCCATCCTTCACTGCGCGAAAGGCCATGGTGTGGCCATTACGTGCAGGTCTTCAGGTGGTTGATGTATCAATGGCCCGAACCTCTGGCATTTATCGCATCTTCTAGAGAATTCTTCTGCATCTCGTGCCATGTTTGGCCAGAAGTACCCCTGTGTCATTGCTTTGTGTGCTAAAGATCTTCCTCCGGAGTGATTTCCGCATACTCCCTCGTGAATGGTTCGTATAATCTGTCTAGCTTTTGTAGGGGTAGCACACTTCAAATATGGACCCGAGAAGGAGCGTCTATATAACTGACCGCGCACAATGGCATACTTTGCTGCGCTGGACCTGATTCGTCTTGCCTCGTCCTTACTCTCGGGGAGAGTATCACTGCGTATGTAGTCCATGACTGGATCAATCCAGCTTGGCTCATATGGTATGACATTAACATGTTGAGTGCTCGGATCAGGCAGTTCCTCAAAAATGGAAGGTTGGATCAGTATGTCGACCGGGATGACCCTAGCTAAAGTATCTCCAGAACTAGATGCGCTACAAGCCAAGCGAATGGCATCTTCGTTATACTCTCTCGGCAACTGGATAAACCTGATCTGATTAAAGGCTTTCGCCTTACGCAGAACCGCAGTACGGTATACTTCCATAGTCTCATCCTTGGCTCCATAGTCCCCATTGACTTGTTGAATGACTAGTTGCGAGTCACTATAAGCCATCAGATTCTTGATCTTCAATTCCTTAGCCAACTTCAACCCGGCTATCAGCGCCTCGTATTCTACCTCATTGTTGGTCGCGCTGAACTCTAGTCTTATTGCTTGGCTCAGTGTAGTTCCTTCTAGTGTTTGCAATTGAATTCCAATCCCGGCCCCCATTTGATTCGAGGAGCCATCCACGAAAAGCTTCTACCAAGAACAATTACAATCCTCTATCGTATCTTCATCATCACAGTCAAGTAGGAAATCCGCCACCGCTTGACCTTTGATTGCTGTCCTTGCCTCGTATGTGATATCAAATGAACTCAATTCAATGGCCCACTTGGTCATTCTCCCCGATAGGTCCGGTTTGTGCAGGATCATTCTCAAAGGGAAAGTTGTTAAAACGACGATTGGGTGAGATTCAAAATAGTGTCTAAGCTTCCTTTTCGCGTTGACCAGCGACAAGATCATTCGTTCAGCCCTAGAGTATCTTCTCTCTGGTTCAGACATTGTCTTGCTAACATAAAACACCGGGAACTGCTTGCCTTCTTTGCAACGGATCAGAACGGCACTGGTTGCTATGCTGGACACCCCAAGATATAGAAAAAGTCTCTCATTCGGTTCTGGAGCAGACAGAACCAGGGGATTACACATGTACTCCTTTAGACTGGTTAGTGCCAGCCGTTGTTCATCCCCCTAGGTTTGCCTTCCATGCCCTCGTATTGTATCAAAGAAAGGTTTACAGCGGTCCGAAAGCTTGGAAATAAATCGGCTAAGTGCGGCTATCCTGCCTGTGAGTGCCTGCACCTCTTTAATTGTCTTCGGCTCTGCATTCCTGATCAAGGCTTCTGCCTATGCTAGGCTGACCTCAATTCCTCTATGATTGACCACATGTCCCAGGAATTGACCGGAGCTTACACCGAATGAGCACTTGGCCGGATTAAGCTTCATCCCATACTGGCGCAACACATTGAACACATCTTACAGGTGCGCTAAATGATCGCTCTTCTTCTTACTCTTGACCACCATATCATCAATATAAGCCTCGACAGTGCTGCCCATCTGGTCCTTAAAAATCTTGCTGATTTGCCTTTGATAAGTGGCTCCAGCGTTTTTCAATCTGAATGGCATGACTTTATAGCAATAAGTCCCTCGTTCAGTAATAAATGAAGTCTTCTTTTCATCAACTGGATCCATAAGAATTTGGTTATAACCGGAATAAGCATCCAGGAAAGTTAACCGCTCATATCCTGTGGTGGCATCTACCATTTGATCAATCCTGGGCAATGGGAAACTATCCTTTGGGCAGGCTTTGTTTAGGTTGGTGAAGTCGATACACACTCTCCATTTTTCATTCTTCTTCTGCACCACAACAACGTTAGAGAGCCAGGTCGGGTACTGAACTTCTCTGATGAATCCGGCTTCAAGCAGCCGATCAACCTCCTCAGCTATAATCTGGTTTCGTTCTGGATCAAATCTTCTCTGCTTCTGCTTTACTGGCTTTGCATTCGGATCCACATTGAGGGAATGGCAGGATACAGCAGGATCTATCCCTGGCATATCTGAATGGCTCCATGCGAATACATCCGCATTCTGAATCAGGAAATTAGTCAACTCTAGTCTCTCTTCATCAGTGAGTTTGGTGCCCACCCTTGTTGTTCGGTCTGGTTTTCCACGATCAATCTTTGCTTCATGAAGGGGTTCTGTGGTCAGAACTGGCGGCTCCTCCCCCCCATCCTTGCTGGGAGGAGGGTTCTGTAATTGCTATTTTGGAATGGCAGAACGGATGTGATTTTTTCCTTTTCCAGCAGATTTTAAAGTTACCGAATAACACTCTTTAGCCGCAACCTGGTCCCCATGTATATCTATCACCTTGGTCCCATCCGGACCTAAACATCGCATCACTTGATGTAAGGTTAACGGAACGCCCTGAATTCTGTGAATCCATTCTCTGCCCATCAAGAGGTTGTATGATGGATAAATTTTCACTACCACGAAACTTTCAGTCAGAACTCGCTCAGCGGCTTGTACTGTCAATTCTACTATTCCAATGGGTTCCACTCGCTTCCCATCAAATCTGAGCAGCGGATTCCCTATGGGTTTGAGCTTTTCGGGTGCGATCTCCAGTCGGTCGAACGTCACCCAGGGCATGACATTCGCACTACTTCCTGGATCAATCAGGACTCTCCGAACCAGGCATTCTGCAATCGTCAGACTGACGACTAGTGGATCTTCATGAGGAATCTGAACGCGTAGCAGGTCTGTTTTATCAAACTTTATCGATGTGGACGCGTTCTGGTGGTGTAAAGCATGCACACTGCCAATTATTCTTTTCATTTGGGCCTGGCGTAACCTTGTCCTGAGCAACTCCTCTGACTCCGTCGTTTGCTCAGGTCGGCCATGAATTGCGTTTATAATCCTGACGGGTTGGGAGTTGTGTTGGTTTGGCCTCTGGTTTCGCTTAATTTGCTCAGCCGGGCGATTATGCTCTTGCGCCGGACGCTAGACATAGCTTGCAAACTCCCCCTTTGCGATCAGCATCTCTACCTGCCTCCTTAGGTTCCTGCATTCGTTAGTCTGGTGCCCAAAATCACTATGGAAAGCACAATGTTTAGTCTGATCTCTCTGTTCAAGAGGTTGCCTGATTGGCAGAGGAGGACGAAACTTATCTTTGTTCTCCTGGTATAGCCTTGCTAAAGCGACTCTGAGTGGAGTGACTGATTCCTCCTCCCTGGGCCTCTTTTCCGCCTTCCATGAGGGGTGACTGTGATACCCCTCGGATCCGAGACACGGGTTGATCAGGCCCAGGCCCAAACCCGAGGGAATATCAAACAATTAATATTTTATAATGAACACGGAATATAAAATAAATTAAGAAATGAAATTAAAGCTGGAAGGAACTAAAAATAGAATCCGCAAAATATTATAATTATTAAAATCCATCAAACCCAAACTCCAAAACTCCATCAGTTTACAACTTGGGAATCCATCTCTAGTGGACCCCTATTAAACATCCAAACGGAAGATGTAACAACTGTAATAAACGTCCAGAAATAAAACTATAGAGAGAGCCCTACATCGTCGGAAGAGTGAATAGAGACCTCTGCTCAGCACGAACACGTCTAAGCCTGGAACTGTCGTGTACCTGAAAAAAATAGAAGTGGGTCTGGCCCACGCGCAAGTTCTATACTACTACAATCCAAACAGAGGCCCGATACGCATGTCCATCATAAACAATTCAACAATAGCTGATAGTCCGTAAATATATATATAGTTACACTAAAGGACTCTCACTGGACTACAGGCCGGTCTCAACCTGAATAGAGGTAACATGCTAAAACGCACACGAAGTGGGCATATGTACCTATACCTAAACAGGGTACACCTCCAACCATCGTAGCCAGCTACACATCCCGATGCATATACGCTCCTTAGCCATCGGTCTTGAGGCTCAAGCTCATACCGAGGCACCATAACAGTACATATATAAAATCCATCTAAAATCCCTGGTATTGCCGCTCAACAAGTAGTTGCCATGACAATACAAATCCACGGGACTTAACTTTTAGTTAATCCCATCCTTATTCCAAGTAGGTGGGTAATGGTATTGTTTTAAAAACCAAACCCATCCTTAGTATGCCACCGTCCCATACCGGTGCCTACTTTCCAATCCTCCAGTAGTCAATAATACCAATAAATCAAGTATATATCAACTAAATTCCAACATCCAACATTCAATATTAGCAGTGATAAAATAAGCATTGATAAACAGGGTCACAACAACAACATATACATGCCCAATTTAAGTTGTTCCCTTTAGTCTGATATAAAGACAGAATTAATTAAAACTTCCATTTAACACCTTACAAATGACATACAGATATGTAGGGTATGTATCACAAAATCCTAACCTCCACAGTTGATACTAATTGTGATAATGTAAGCATCAAAACAATATTCACAGTATGTATGTAAACATGCTCAAATTATAGTGTTCCACAAAACCGATCTAGTGTTAAACTCAAATCCTCCTAGTATTTAAGTTCTAACAGTTGCTATTACAGAAGTTAAGATAGCTATCATCTAGACCCATCCTTCTAATAATTTATACTAGCAGTGGTAAGAAAAAACGTGAACCACAGAACCACAATGCATCCACAAACATGCTTAGTCTAGGTTGAACGAGCATACAACACTACTGTAACTACCAGTTTCATAGCAAAACAGATATCATTTTAGTTTGGTTTAATCTTCATTAATCCTGGAATCATTTAAGAGTGCAAAGAGTATGAAGCCTAAGGGAACGAGTAAGGATAGAATCTTGCCTCAGAAACTTTTGTTCAAAGTTTCAACGTCGTCTTCTTAAAAAATCCCGGGGAGTTCCAAAACCCGGTTACTGTTCATGGGTACGAAACACTATTCCCGAACTCAAAATCTGATCTCCACCATTCAGATTGTGCTACACTGAGTCATGAACCTATCCTCAAAATTTCAGCTCGATCGGACCACGGACGAAGTGGGATCGGATGTTTGATGAAATTTGGGCAGAATGGAAAAAAACCTGCGCGACCCAGTTACTGTTCACGAGTACGAATCACTGTTCCCGAGGTCAAACTCTGATCTCCACCGTTCAGATTTTGCGTCACTGAGTCATGAACCTCTCCTCCAAAATTCAGCTCGATCGGACTACGGACGAAGCAGGATCGGAGCTTTGATCAAACCTTGGCAGAATGTGAAAAACTGCGTTTTTCCTTCTCCACTTCCACAAAACGTGTGCTTTGTTTAAAAAAACCCTACACAGACGTCTACCTTATACTTCTAGAGTTTTCCTCAACCCTAGGTTCATTTAATTCCAACTCACAATCCTAACCGGCCCATCCAATTAACGTAGAAACCTACGACGGCTATAATATAAAACCCTAATTTATACTGTAATTAAAACCCTAATTAGATGTATTTACCTAATTACCCTATTCACCATTAAATATTTAACAAATAATCTAATTGAACAAAATAATAATTAGTAAACCCAATTAAACAAAATAAGACACACATAAAATAAGACACACATAGAATAATTAAACCAATTACACTTAAACCATTAATGCCAATTAAATAATTAAAACACTAACAAGTAATTCCAATCAAATAACTAAACCAATTACACTTAAACCATTAATGCCAATTAAATAATTAAAACACTAACAAGTAATTCCAATCAAATAACTAAAAATAAATATCATTTAAATAAATTAAATCACCACAAAAGAAAACAATTAAGCACCTAATAAAAAAAAATAATGACACATAATCAAATAAAATACACTTAAATAATAAATTAAATACTATTAAATACTAGGAATATCCTTTTTAAAATTAGGGGTATTACAGTGACGTTGTGGTTGAGCTTGTTTTTGCCGGATCTTGGCTTTGGACTTCTCCTCCGTCGAAATAATTGACGTCTTCCTTGAATTAGCTGCTTCTTCCTCCTCAAGGCGAACAAAACCGTCAGCTCTCTCGTTCAGCTCGTCCATTGTCTTTGGCGTATTAACCATCAAACTGGTGTGGAACGGCGTCCCCCGGTTCATTGCGAGTTTAAATGCTTGGACTGCTGTGGACGAGTGGCACTCCATTACCATGCTCTTAACGAGGTTGAACCAGGTGAGAAAAGCTTGGAGCCGCTCATCCTCATGCTGCTTCATTGTAAAAAGGCTCGATACATCCTTAGCCGGACGCTTATTCCCATAATACTGGCTTATGAACTTATCGCATAAGTCCTGGAAACTGGCGATTGAGCCTTGAGCCAGATTCTTGAACCAATTGAGAGCTGGTCCAGCCAGGCTTATAGGGAAACACTTGCACATCAAAGGATCATTTTTAGTATTCAAAGCCATTTTTAACTGAATATGGTATATGTGATTGACCGGATCAGTTGTTCCGTCGAACAGAATGAAGATCGGCATGGAAAACTTCTTCGGATTCGGTGCGTTCAGAATTTCATCAGTGAACGGCGATGCGACCGTCCTTGCTGAGGAACGCAATGCTTCGTTTTCTCTTGAAAATCGTGACATAAATCCTCGATCGACAGATCTCCTTTCTGAGCTATTGTAATCAACCATCGCTGATGAAGGTCGGTATGGCGAATTGAACGACCTATCCTCCGCAAATTCACTCCGCCATGGTGACGCAACCCGATGTTCATACGCTGGTGCTTTCTCCCTCATAATCTGTTTGTGATGCGGTTCCAGACGAACAGATCCTTCCCGATCTTCTACTCTGCCGGCATTCGGAGGCAGATTACCGATTATATCTTCATCACGACGTAGACCACCACGATTGACGTCTTCTGGATCACTTTGACGATCAGCTGCGGACGGTAAAGCTCCCTCTCCTTCAGGAGGTGGCCTTGGAATTACAAGAGCCTCACGATGCTCCATTCCAGCTCGTAGCTCTGCATTTTCTTTCCTCAAAGCATCGATCATGTTCATCAGCTCGTCGAGCTTTGTCTGCTGGCCGTTCTCCAAAGGATTAGAGTTCGCCTCTCCGATCATCATTCCAGATCGGAACAAAGTCATCAACTGCAGACTTCTTGACCAAATCGGAGCTTCGCTAACGCGCGTACACCAGATCTGAACCTACACTTGCTGAATTCAGTCCGCTACTGGCCGGATTCAGTAATCATAACAGATCGCAATTGCACAGTTCGTCGGATCAAGCACGGATCTGATCTGCTTGGATCGGACGCCAATTTTCCGAAATCAACCGGAGCCTTGACTCGTCAAGACAGATCGTATCATCATCAATGTTGGTTCAGCTTTCGCAGAGTAGTCGTCTTCCTCACAGAATGCGTTAAATCGATCCGATCTAGAATGATATCAATCAATCCTTCTTGTTCTTCCCACAGACGGCGCCAATTGAAAGTACAAAGAATTTTTCCCTAATTGTAGAGAGAGAAACTTTACACTCCCAATGATTTCTCAACACCTTTTCCCTCTCAATCCCTTCTATTTATAGACAGTTACAACCCCCACTAAGCTGATCCTATCCTATTCTCCTTTGGCTGGACTCGATTCCTCTCATTTCATCATGGGCTTCTGAAATGGCTTTATGGACCTGGGCCCAATGGACCTGGGCCCATACGGCGCGAACTGGCTTGATCCCGTTTATCCACATCCGACCCATCTTATGCGATGTGGATCACTCCAAGCCCGGGTCGTTTTGGTATCCTCAACAACACACCAAGTATGAAATGTAGCAACAAGAGTTTATGAATTTAAACTTAAATATATGTGCATCTACCACTTCCAAAACTCACTTGTATAAATGTGGAGGCATTCAACCTGTCCATGGCAGTTTGATCCAATGCTTTTAGTGTTTTAGTCCCCGTTTTGTTACTTGTAATAATGTTCATAATCATTTTCTCCTGGAATTACCATGTCGAAATGGTCCCATACACATTTTTTCAAGGATCACTTCGCTATGAAATTTAACTACTGTGATAAAATTTTACAATTAAAATGGTACCTTTTACTATTCAACATTTAAAATAATGAAATTCAATATACAAAACAATGTATACTTAAAATAAGTGGAAAATGATCAATTCCATCATCACTCAACACAAGGGATCTTTGTTATATTCATTGTATTAACTGTGTGTGGGCCTTAATTAGGCTTGTAGTTGTCCCATTTATTTTTAGATCTTTAGGTCTTATCTATTTTAAATTTGAGGTCCATTTCAGCATTTTGTTGTCCACTTGTAGTCTGAGATGGGCCAAAATTCGAGGCACTCCAATTTGGAGGCCCTAGGCGACTGCCTTGGTCGCCTTGATCAGGGCCGGCCTTGGGCATGAGTGATTTTTGTTAGAATTGAACTTTTAATAGATGATTTTCTTAGTATTGGTGTTATTATTCATTTCTTGAGGATTTGTTAATTATCCTCAACGGGTTTTAAAATTACAGTAATTCTAATTTTTCCTAAATATAATGAGTAAATTTTTGGCTTGGGATGACAAAGTTATGTTGGAAAGGTGGGTGACATAGACTTGAGATGACAAAGCAAAATGACCATTTTGCCCCTAGGTTCTTTTTTGTCCGTTTTTGAAACGACACTTCCGCATTTGTTTTCTTTTGGGTTCCGTGACCTCATTGAGGGTCACATTGGTGTCTTAGAGATCAATGCCAAAGATATCCATTCATTAGGGTCATCAATTCAAAGCAATTGAGTCATGGTCAAGGTAAATCAGGTTACATGCCTCACAATTGAGTTTCCGGCGTGCTGTATTCAATATAGATACGTATGTTCAGGATGCTGCATTGCACTGGAGTAATCTCATTGAAGTTGCATTGTTACTTATACAGTCTCAGGACTTTTTCTTAACTTCTTAGAAAGAAATGATGTTTATGTTTGTTTTAATTTTATCTCACAATTCTCTTTAGTTGATTTTTGCATCTTTATGTTAATATGCTTGATTATTCACTACATTGGGTTGGGATAGGATGATTACCAAGGAGTTTATAAAAGAACTTGTATAAACTCAATATGGTAAATTTGGTTTAGAAGGAAGAATTTGCCAACTAGAGCGAAAGGTGGGTGACATAGATTTGAGATGACAAAACTATGTTAAAAAGATGGGTTAATTACTACCATTAGATACTCGCTTAATGTTGTGAGAGATAATTTTTTTCCCATTAGTGAGACGAGGATGCTTGGTTGTCAGATTAGGATGTACAAGTGGCAACAAGTTAGTAAGGACCTTAACGTGATAAGTATTAAACAGTCAAAGATCTGTTATTTGGTGGTTCACTCTAATCAAAGATCTTTATTTGGTGGTCCACTCCAATTAAAATATGGTGTATTTAAGCTTTTGTTTGGGATTGTAAGCTACATATTTTTAGACGTGTATCATTATTTAGTGAGGTTCTTTAACAATACATGAAGAAGATTGCATGTGAATCAAATAAGGTTCAGACATAATTGAGGACTGAATTTAAAAAATTTAAATTTAAATGAAACACTAGAATTTAATGCCACTCTAAATCTATCTTAATAATAGCAAGTTTTTTAAAAGACAAACTTATTGCTTCTTGGCAATGGTTTTCTCAAACAGGTCTGAATCAAATGCTAGGTAAGAAAGATTATACTACTTACGTCATTTATTAGTTGTTCATCTTTGGTTTTATAATTTTTTAAGGAGATATATAACTAATGCATTGTTCCCTTTTAAAATTACCAAATTGTCCTTTTTAATTTAAATATATATAATTACAAAGTTTGAAATTTTTTTAAAAAATAAAGGACAATGATAGAAATATAAAGAAAAAATGCTTTGACTTTTTAAAGAGGACAACTAATTTGGGACATGTAAAAATAAAAAAATGAACTACTAATAAGGACTAAGGGAGTATACGGAAGCAAAAAATACTTATATAAAAAAAACATATGAAAGTGAAAATTGTGTTACCAGTGTTGGAACAAGAAAAGACCAAATAAACAAATTGACAAAATTGCGAACAATTTACCACATATAAAATGTAGTCTTTTTATTTAATATTATTTTCAAAAGTGGCCGAAAATATAAATAACGAATTTGATATTGCAACCCTTCATCCACCATTCTCACATTTTAGGACGTTTGAAGGAGACGAGCTGCAAAGACTGCGTCCGGTTAACCCAAACAACGGCCTCATAGGTCTCCACATGGAAGGGAGCGTCTTGGACCACGATAACAAACCAGTAATTCGTACCTAAGTCTAATGATTGGGCCCTAGCCTCAGCCAGTCTCTCAAACTTCAAGTTCGATTTGGCCTGATTGTTGTGTTCAGTCACGGCGAACTTAGCCATGTCTTGAACTAGTTCGTCAGTCTTAATCGACACCCAACCGCCAATGTCTTGAACGTGTGGGTCATTCTTAATCGGCTGCCAACCGCCTTGGCCGCACACGGCGGAGGCATCTAACAAAAGGAAGGTAACCAGCAGAGAAAGGAAAAGGGATAGAGATTTCCAAGTCATCTTTGTAGGCTATGTAATTTTGTATAAGGAGTGTTGGTTTGAATTTCAATTTATAGCAGAAGAAACACCGCGCGCAAGACCCGTGTCACCAGGGTAGAATAAAAGTAAAAAAATATCCCTATACGGTGTTTAGAATAATGAATTTGATGGTATTTGGATTTGGAAACTGAATTTATGTTGGTTGGAGTCATCGGATTATAAACTGGATTTAAATATGACGGCGATTTCAAATCACGTCTGAAAAGTCCGAATCTGCCGGGATTTGAGTAAATATTCCTTTTGTAGATTCTACTTCTATTACATGTTCTTTCTACACCGTCAAATATGAGGTACAATTAATTGTCGAAATTTTTTATTATCTTCGCATTAAATATAATCTCATTTATTATTCTACTATCATATCATTTATGTATGTAATTCTTCTCTCACAATTAAATTGTTTGCTACTTAATTATTATTTAAAAAAAAAAAAACTATAAGTACATTGTCATGACACTATGTAAATATAGACTTGGATTCTCTAAGTTAAATATTCTCTAAGTTATTCTATTCATTTAAAATTTATCTAAAGTTGGTAATAAATCATGTCAACTAATTTAAAGAAAATTTGAAAATTCCACGGTTTTGAATTTTTTATTTTTTTTATCAAAAGTTAAAAAATGACACCCTTTTGAATTAAGAAATAATCATTAAAGTTTAAAAATGACACCCTTTTGAATTAAGAAAAATTCACCATACTCTATGTTTTTAACGTCGTTATCTTTCCCTCATCTTTCAAAAAAAAAAAAAAAATTTCTTCCTCTCTCTCTTCTTGCTCATTCCCAAGACTGGAGGAATATTTTGCCATGGAATTAAGATAGACGAAAATGTGATTGCAAGACACACAACTTTTACTGGCAATAGTAATGATTGGAAAAGAATATATATATATATATATATATATATACAAGCATGTATATTGATGGAGTTAGAAAAATATGACTTCTAAAAATGAGAGAGAACGTTGGTGGGTTAAAAGAGAAACAGAGGCTTTACGACTTGTTTAAGATAAGAAAAAAGAGGAGAAAGAAGGAGAATTTTTTTTTTTGAAAAGATAGAAGTTAAATGTTATTAGACTATAGTAAATTTTCCTTAATTCAAAATGATACAGTTTTTAAATTTCGGTAGACTTTTCTTATCTCAAAACGGTGTAATTTTCAAATTTTTTTTAATTTATTTGACGTGGTTTAACAGTAAATAGATTTTAAATATAACGTGTCAATATGTAGCGAATTCAACTTTGAATAATTTAGATAATATTTAAGTTAGAGGATCAAAGTCCATATAAATATACAGAAAAAGATAAAATTGGAAAGAAATATTTTTATCACTTAAATGATTTAGATAAAGTTTGATAGAGATGAACTGCCAAATCATTTTGGCACAACTTTCAATTTCACTAATGAATTAAATGTAATGTAATCATCACATTTATTAGGTTGACTTCATATCATTATTTCATGGATTGGTGACATTATGTTTCAATTTTATCCCCAAGTAAAATGATTTATTGGATTGTTTAATACTTAATTTTAATTTTTTTTAACAAAAATATAAATACTTTGGCATGAGAGAGTATTCTTAACTCGCAAAAGTCCTCGTCATATTATAATAAAACTACTCGCATATATTGTGCCCGGTCACTTATGATTCTAGTGATATGTAATACATGTTCTCACTAGCCTCTCAAATATGTACCATTAATTGTTGGATATATCTGTTATGTTAATATATATATATATATATATATATTTTGACATTAAATAAAATCACATTTACTAGTATTATTTTACAAAATCATGGCTTGCACACAAGAGATGACTTTGTTTCCTTTGATAAACTGTTCACTATTGTCATTTTACTCTAATGATAAATAATGGTAATTAAAAGTATAATAATTTCCTACAAAAACTTGTCAATTAATTAATTAGCAGGTAGATCATATCCTAAGGCTCTTATTAAACTCGTGGACAACTTTTTTTTAAAGATGTATTAAATAATTTATTTAATTTTTCACAAATTTCAACGAAATTGTAGATTGTGAAAGTTACTGACTTCTAACATTTCTTGTCTTGAAAAAAAAAAATAGTATTACTGTTTATAAAACCCAATCAAAGAAACTATATATATATACCAATCTCTCCCTCTCTCTCCCCCTATGTATATATATATATATATGTTTTATAGTTCTCTGTTTTTGTTCCTCGCAAGGAATTGTTAGTAGAAATTATTACTGATTTGTGAAAGATTTTGTAAAATTCATAGAGAACTATTTCAGTTGTTCTTACTCTCAAGAAGGACACATCCTACGGCTAAAAAGGGGTGCGCGTGAATGCTATTGCGAGCGCGCGCTCGCAATAGCACTACTCTTTTATCAATTTGGTTATGTTTTACATTTTCAGCAAATAAGTAAAGAAAGGATTTGAAGAAAACATATGGAGGTGAGTTATTCACTAATTTCTTCATTTGTATGTGCAAAACCTTACTACTTGAATCTGAACCACTAAATCTCGGCAATTGACAAACCACGTTGATGAGTTAATTTTACATATTGCTACTCGATAAGCTTCAAGTTTTGTACATAGTTTCCTGTTACTAAATGTTGGTTCTCGATCTCTTCCATTATGAAATTTAGAGAAATCGGTAATTGTATTCATGTATCATTCTATTTCAGTTGAAGCGTGTTGTGGTTGTAAATTGCTAAGTTTATAGTTATTTCAGTTGAAGCTGTATATAAATAGTGGTGCATGCCTTGAGGTAATTATCAATTTTTTGACTCAATTAATTATACTTGTTTTATAAATAAATAAAAAAATAATTGTTGGTGCACTATTTACTGAAACAACCATTTTTTTTTTTTCATGATCTCTCTCTGCCATGTTTGTGTACTGTATGTGTAGATATGTATATATATAGACATAAAAAAGTTTTCACATTTGCAGGTTTATATTGGTGTGTATATATATAGGATGAATTTTCACTTATCAAAATAAAAAATTCTATACATAATAAATTTTCACTAATTTTTTTGTATGTTTCTAAAGTTTTTTGCACACACACACACACATATATATATATATATATGCTATTTTTTATTCTATTTATTTTATTCTATTTATTTTCACTAATTTTTCACTTATCAAAAATACGAAGTTGAAAGTCAACTCAAAATCTTGTTTTTCTAAATTTTATGAAGAGCAATACTTAAATCCTCACTAGTAAGGATTTATACTATCCTCACTAGTGATGTGGGCCAATAATAAATAAACATGCCATCTTTAATTACTAAATTTAATATGGTGGGTAAATATTCATTTACCAAATCATAGAGATGGTGATTTATTATTAGTCCACATCACTAATAAGGATGGTGTAGATCCTCACTAGTGAGGACCTAAGTATCGTTCTTAATTTTATCATCCATTGCACGTCTTACTTCTCTTTCTTACTCTCCTAGTGAGAGGATTTGATAGTTCTTTAAATTGGTTTGGGTGAATATGATAAAATAATTGAAAACCTAAAGCGGGTTTAGGGCGAAGGCGGGAGCTGATTTAGGGCGAAGGCGGGAGCTGATTTAGTGTTGAACAACCTATCTTTTAATTATTTATATATAATATTTTTAAGATCCTTATTAATCTGTTAGAAGTGTTAGACAGGAAAAACTACACTTAAGTAGATTTACACTTAAGTAGATTTAAGAGCCTTAAATAACAAATCGGTCTATTTTTAAAGTTAATTTTTCAATTTGACCAAGTAAAATAATTACATATGCATAAATAACTATTATTTATGTCCAAAATACTCTTCGAACTTTTATTTCAGATATCAAAATATCCTTCCTAATTCAAATAATTCTTTTATTCATAAGTGGATATTTACCCACCATATTAAATTTAGTAATTAAAAATGGTATGTTTATTTATTATTAATTCACATCACTAGTGAAAATGATGTACATCTTTACTAATGAGAACCTAAGTATTGTTCTAAGATTAATAATTTAATTTTTAACTAACTAGGTAGCTAGGCGAACTACTTCTTCAAGTCTCGGCGGACGTGTATGAAAGTTCGAGAAGAGGCATAACGTTGAATTGAGACACTTTACTAACATCGTTAAAAATTTAAATAAATAATTTAATACATACTTCAATCCAATAGATGTATATGGAAAGTTTTTTATTTTTGTCAATAGCATTAATTATCTCAACAACATATTATGGTCATAAATATATAGGAGTATATATATATATATATATATTGTTGACAAAATATTTATGGATAAGCGTCTTTAGTATGCCACATTTATAGGAAAAAAAAAAAAAAGGGCTTTGCGTCATTGAAAATTGAGACATTTAAATTTTAGTGATCAAAATTAAAGAAAATTATTTTAAAGTCACTTTAAAACTATAAAAAAAAATGAACGGTCATCAATCTGTCACAAAATTCTTGTTCAGTGAACATTTGATGGTAATTCATCAATGAGTTTTATTTGCTTACTAGAAGTAAGTGTAAACTACATTCAGATTTCAGACTCTAATTCACCGAAACTGCAAAGACGTCCTTGGGTACACTGCCCGCAAGTGCCATAAGTTGACAAATGAGTGTAAGGAGAGCCAGTGAAATTAAATTCAGGGGCCCAGTGTAAAAAAAAATAAAATCACTATAATAAATATAGATTCTATATAATAAGAAATAAAAAAAAAATTACTTAAAATAATATGTCATTCAATGAGTAATTTAAGAAAGATAATTTAAAAAGGAAAGAAAAATGAGAGAATTTTGAAAGGAAAAAAAAAAAAAATTAGAGTTTGATTCAAAAAGAAAAATTTAACTTTTTTTTAAAGGAAATAAAAAAAAAATTTAAGAGTAAAAAAGAGAAAAATACAAAATTTAAGATATAATTTTAAAAAATAAAAATTTTAGTGGGGAAATTATATGAATTTTTTCATATATACATGTAAAAATATATGAATTTAGTATATGTATTATAGTAAGCGGGGCGGAGACGAGGCCCTGCCCCTGATGAGAGCACCCTTCACAAATTTAAAATTCGCTCTTGATTAAGATTGATTTGGCTTGAAAAAAAAAAATATTTATTTAGGATTGATTTGAAAAAAAAGAAAAAAAAAAAAGACACTATCATCAAGAGCTTTCCTACCCTGTAAATGATACAAAAAGGAGAAGAAGAAGAAAAAGGTCTAAATGCATAAGATAGTCATTCGAAGCCAGTTTAAAGTTGATCACAGTTTAAAAATCTACCATGTCCCCAACAATTTACCACATAACAAACATATCATACTCTTTTTTTATTTATTATAATTATAATTCATTGCAACCCTTCATCAACCATTCTCACATTTTGGTGCTTCAAATAGGTTTGAAATACTTGACCTTATAAGTATGCTCAAAAGGAGGCTCAGCCCATACAATTGCCACATACTTGTTAATAACGCCACCGTCTTCCGCCGAGATTACCAACCGATGATTCGTAGCCGAATCCTTCCCCGAAACTGCTTGCTTCTCGACATTATTCACAAACTTGAACTTTAAGTGCGCTTTGGCCTGTAAATTGTGTTTGGACACCGCGAACAATCCGAGCTGCTGCACTTCTGGGTCGACTTCGAAAATCGGATGCCAACCCCCAGGCACCTGACCACACGCGGCGGAGACATCTAACAAAAGGAAGGTAACCAGCAGAGAAGAGAGGAGGAGAAGAGATTTCGTCCGAGTCATCTTTGGAGGGTGTGTGGTGGTAGAGATGGAGTCTCGTGAAGAGGGTGGGTTTGAATTCTATTTATAGCAGTACTAACAAGCAAGTGGAAAGAATTCCATAATTGCATTTATTAGGTGAACTTCATATCACAATCCCATTAATTGGTGACATTATGTTTCAAATTTCTTGCCAAGTAAAAATGATTTATGGCACTGTTTACTTCCTAATTTTTAAAAGAAAAAATTACACTTAAAGTAGATTTAGGAGTCTAAAATAACAAATTAGTCCATTTTTAAATTTATTTTTTCAATTTAGACGAGTTAAGTAAATTAATTAAATATGCATTAAAAACTATTAATTAGGTTCAAAATACCCTCCAAACTTTTATTTTCAAAATTCTAAAATATTCTTCCTAAATCAAATAATTATATCTTTCATGAAATTTAGAAAAATAAATAAAATAAAAAACATCACACACACACATATATATATATTATATAAATTTTGTGCAAAAAACTTTACCGGTATCTTCTAATCTATATCGGTTCAAACCTACAAATGTAAATTTAGAAATATACAAATAATATTGGAAATTCATTATATATAGGAATTTTTTTTTTTGGAAAGTGGAAATTCATCCTATATATATGTATAATTTTATGTGCACCTGTAACCATATGTTCTGATTCATACCAATATAAATATGCAAATGTGAAAAAATTTCTATGAATATATATATAGAGAGAGAGAGAGAGAGAAAGAGTATATACATACATAAATACACATGCACGGGAGGAGAATATCAAGAAAAAACTAAATGGTTGCTTCACTAAATGGTACAAATATTGATTATTATATCAAGGCATGCACCACAACAAAGACGATTTATATATTCGTGAATTTAATTATATTTTTCTTTTTGGGGACTAATCTTTAATTGCCCCATTTTTTACTGTATTAAATCTTTTTTATTATTTGTATAAGTTTTAGTGTGTGTGTATATGAAAGTTGCAGTAATATGGTTCAAAGTTAAAGGAAAAATCTTGTTTTTTAAAAAATTTGAAATAAAGAAATTATTTTAAGAAAGCATTTGATATAAGGGGAATAATTTTTAGTATTTTAGAATAAGTGTTTGGAGAGCATTTTGGACCTAAACAATAGTTATTGATGCATATGTAATTATTTTACTTAATTCAACCAAAGTGAAAAATAAACTTTTAAAATAGACCATTTTGTTATTTAAGGTTCCTAACTTATGTAAGTGTAGTTTTCCCTTTTTAAATTAAAAAAAAAATTATTAGTACTCATTTGGATAAATTATACATGGGTAGACCATTCATTGTTTTCGTTTGTTATGTTGACTTCCTTTGATATTTGACACTATGCTCAACGACATTTCTAATATTTTGTTTTTAGTAAAATTTGTTGACCAAATTTTTAGAATAACAAATTTGACATTCTTTAATATAAAATACAATATAATGTAGGGAGGCGATATTTACACTCCATTTTTCAACATTTGCACTACAATTTTAAAGGAAATGACAATTATAACCTTAACTTTACAAGTAAATAATAATTATTTTTTAAATGACACAACTGCCCTTTCATATTTTCGCTCCTTATCTCTAATCTTTAATATTTTAAGTATATTTTGACAACACAAATAAAAGAAATAAAAATTGAATAAATTTTTTTTTTAAGGGACAAAAAAAAAGAGTTATGTTATGTTGAATAAATTACCTCTTTTGGCCAGGATAAAAAAAATAAAAAGTAACCAATTAAAAAATTATCTCTTTTGACATGAAGTAAAAAAATTCAAAAAAATATATTTATAAAATAAATTATCTCTGTTGTCAAGATCCCAAAATAATAATAATAATAATCATAATAAAAAGTACAAAAGGAAGATGATTAAAAAAATAATAAAAAGTACAAAAGAGGTTATTTTTATCGAATAAATTATTTCTTTTGACTTATACAAAATTACCAAAAAATAAAGTTACCTCTTTTGACAAAATTAAACAAAAATTCAATTTTGTTGAATAAATATCTCTTTCGATTGTACCAAAAAAAAAAAAAAAAGTTACTATGAGATAAATTATCCCTTTTGACAACCAAAAATAAAATTATTAGTATAGAATAAATTATTTTCTTTGAGGAAAAAACAAAAAGAAAGGGATAAAAAAAGTAAAAAAATAAAGAAGGTAAAAAAAAAAATGGTTGTATAGAGGGTAGTTGTGACATTATAAATTAAAGAATTGTGCATTAATGAATTTCAGAACTTTCTTGTCATTTCCTTTAAAAGAAAATAATAAGTGCAATTGGAGAAAAGTGAAGTACGAATATCGTTTTCTTATAATTTACTATATTTAATATAAGATTACAAATTAATAAGCTTTGAACGGTCTATTTGTGCAACCTATACGAAGAAAATGAAATGGAAATGAAAATAGAATGAAGTTGATTGGAATGTTTACAAATATAAAATGATATATGAATTAAATGATAAACAACATTTTAAGTGGTGGTGGTGGTGGTAAAAGGGGGTGGTTTTGGAAGGAGGTGCCGATGGCCAAGGATTTCATTTCTTGTAATGAATTTTTATTACATCGATTTATAAAATGATATATGAATTAAATGACAAACATTTTAAGTGGTGGTGGTGGTGGTAAAAGGGGTCGTTGTGGTGAAAAGCCACAAAAGTGGTGGTGGCAAAAGGGGGTGGTTGTGGAAGGCGGTGCCGATGGCCAAGGATTTCATTTCTTGTAATGAATTTTTATTACATCGATTTAGATGTGAAATGAATTTTATTTTTTAGAAAATGATCATTTCCAATTTAAATATCATTTTAAATAAGAGGATGGTTGAAATGAAATGTCCATTCCATGTCTGCAAAACTAGGCCTAAAAATCAGAGCAAATGGACATAAATCATTAAATTATGGGCTAAAAAGGGCAGTGAATATATCCTCCTTTCTGCAGGAGACAAATTAAACTATAAAAGTAAATCATATTCATTTTAATTGTATATTTTACTGTATATGTATCACATATATTGTATAATCATATAAATTTCATTTATAGTATATGTATATTTTATTCATTGTTTGTTTAGTTTGCTTGTAAGCTTGAGGTATTGGGGTACGTATATTATATTATATTATATTATTTAATATACTTGTATTGAATTGATTGTTTGCATTGATTATTTTGCTTTGTATGTGTATAGTTTGGTGTACGGGCTACGTTTTTGAGTGATTTTTACTTCATTTGGGGTGATATCTAACAAAATGAAAGTAACCAACAGAGAAAAGAGAAGGGATATAGATTTAGAAGTCTATCTTTGGAGTAGAGAGAAGGGATATTAATTTTAGGAATCCCAACCAATTAGGATTGTCACTGTGCAAAGACAGCCTATAATGATAGGAAATATTTATTTAATTAGCATTTAATTTTAGAAATTTTAACTAATTAAGTCGCATGCTGCAATTAGCACTCCTCTTGCCATTAATTCAGGTAGTATAATTATTTTTTTAAAAAAGAAAAAATGAGAGTTCTAGCTCCATAGGGGAATTTGACACAAATTAATTGGTCAATAAATAAATAAAATGGGCCTATTTTATGCACACACTCTTGCATGAATTAAATGTAATGTAATAACAAATTATTAGGTGGACTTCATAACATAATTTCATTGATGGGTGACTTTATGTTTCAACTTAATTTGTCCCCAAGTAAAAAATAAAAAATAAAAAATAAAAAGTTGACTTTTTGAATTGTTTTCTTCTTAGTTTTTAAATTTTTAAAAATTATATGTACATTGTCATGATAGTCAACATGGAGGAGAAGATATACTTGAAAAGAAGCAACTTTGAACAACTAGATGCGGTTCAAGTTCATCTAATAATATATTCATAGTTAGGTCATTATTGAAGCCTGAGATATATCATTTTGATTTAGAAAAATTATTATATAGCCAAGGACGATCTGCCACTTGATTGTCCATTTCAATCTAAATTAATATTGAGATTTCTTTGTATTATATTATTAAACATCTATTGCTCTATTTTTCTTAATTGCATAGCATGGTTTAAATTAAATCACAAAATATATGTGATCCATGGACCATAATCATTTAATAATTTCTCAAACTTGATGAGTTATAGTCAAATTGAGATATTTTTGACCAAGAATCAAAACTACTCTTATTTTCACTTAATCCACTGATGAATCATAAGATTGCATTTCATTTTCTTTCTCTATATAGAAATTTTTTTCCCCACCTATGTCGAATGTATAATAATTTAATTTTCTTTTAATAAAAAAAGTATCCACTTAATTCTTAACTTGGCAAAAGTCCTCATGATATTATAATAAAACTACTTGCATTATTATACAATAAATAAATTAAGAAAACTTCAAGATTAAAATGAAAGGTGTATTAATTGATTTATTTAAATTATTATAGATTTAAAAAAAAAAATTATTCATTTAAATTATTACAGATTTTTTATAAAAAAAAAAACTTGTTTAAATTCAATAGTTAAATATGGTGAACTAATTGATTGCTCTCGATACCGTTCAATAGCTAATTATATGGTGAAGGCAATTTTGTTTTACTGTTAATATTGGGTAGCTGTTTTAAAATTACAGTAATGCCCCCATCAACTTGATGTGGATGTTGATTGACATTAATAAAACTGTAATTGATCAACCATTAAAATCGTTCCAAATCAGTTATATATATATATATATATATATACACACACACACATGCGTACAAATCCCATAAACACAATAAATTTTGAAGAATGAACTACAACTATAATCAATGATGACAGACAACTTCTCCTGTACTTCTTTAGTTTTTGGATAGACGTCAAAATCATTCTATATAGAGAAAATAATTAATGTAACGAGTCAATAGCTAACGAAAGTCCATATGAATATTTATATTTCTCCCCAAAACAACTCAATCACCTCCTATTGTATAGTTCAATATTCTCATGAATATATTA